TATTAATATGCATTATTAGTTATGTGAACAAAAAATTATATTGTATTGACTACTTTATTATATGAACTAAATCCCACTTATATGAACACATAATATAAATTTTGACATAAAATTCAAAAATATGTAATATGCATAATTACTACATTTTTGCAGCTTGCAAAATATAAAAGATATATAATATTTATATATATAATGGTTACAAGTGTAATATTATTTTACATTGTAATTTTCACTTACCTCTTTCATTTCCATAAACAATACAGATATCTGAACCTCTTTTGACATTTATTAGTTCATATAAATGAGAGTCTACTGTACATATAATATACTTATGCTCATATTACATATTGTAATTGTTATAAAAATATTTCTACTTTAATTCATAGACAATCAATTATTTTTTATTGTAATAGAAAAAATTGCTGTTCAACACATTCCATTCTATTCCATGTAGACGTGATATTGGTCAGTTTTTAAAATAATTTACCATAGTAATAATTCTTTTATTATATTTCTTTGAAGTTGCGTTTTGTGGGTGATAGAGAATGAGTACACTATGCATTTAGAATATTTTTGCATTAAATTTATTATTACTTTTAAAATGAAGGTCATTAATAATGTTAAGTTTATTTTTGTATTATTTTAAAAGTTTGAAGTTTTAAGCAATTTTTATATATTGAGTGTTTTTAATATAGTATACAAGGAAGACATAATTTAAATAAATAGGCGGAGGATTTTCAAAAAAAAAAAATTGCTAATTTAAAACTTTTTTTTTTAATTTTATTTTTTTGTCCAGGAGAGGGGTAATTGAACTATATTATTAAATTGATTTTTACAAACAACATAAATAAAATTTTTCCTAAAATTTTTATAGTCCATTTAGAAAATTTTACTTTGCTTTTCTTTTTTGATTAAAATCAATTAGAATAATAATGTGAATGAACTAGAAATATGCAAATATAGGAATTGTAATAAAGTGAAAGTGATATTTAGTACATTGCCACTATAGGTTATTTATTACCAAATAATAATTATAAAAAAAACCAAAAGCATTTACTGACAAGCCTTTTTTAATATTGCGTGTAAGAGTAGCTTGTATGACCCACAGAAAAATCCTTTAAAATATTGAGCTGTCTTTACTACTTTAAGTTAATTGATAGGAAAGTAAATTAAGTAAGTCAAAGTAAATTCTAGGGTAATAAAGAACATCTTGAGATTAAATTTTCTAAATAAAATTCAATTTATTAACAATAATTCTGTATATGATAAACGTACATAATTAAAATTATTATAGCAATCCATATAATTGAAAAGGTATTGAATTTTCATTTCAATGAATTGGAGCAAGTATGTATAAGTACAATGTCATATATATAGCAGTTAGAAACATGTTAGAATTTCAATGAAAAACATTATTTATATACATTTACATAATTATGTAAAATTATAATTGACAGGTGTTAGTTGACAAGCTAATTACATTTTAATAAATTTCAAATAAGAGCCCATAATTATAATTACATGAATATACAAGTAATTAATACCTATACTTGCATACATAATACTAAGTATAAATTTAATTATGTTATAAGATTTCAATGAATATTATAATTATCTATTAATTATATCACGTGCAAAAATACAAGGTATTTAAAGCAAATACTTGGTAATTTTAAAATAAAATTTGTAAAATACATTTTTAATTTTCTATAATCATAATATTCCAAATTCCAAAATTGAGGTGATATAAGAATAAACCCATTTATATTTGATTTTTTGGCACAAACACCTTATAACGAAAATATGGCAAAAATCCAATTTTGGGTGTATAATTATAACTTTTATTTAAAAATTTCAATGTTAATTTTTTTTGCAAAAATTGTTTTCTGAAAATTTGAAAAATATTTACTTTTGTAATTATTACATATGTTAATTTTTATTGATATACAATTCATTAACACTAACGTAAAAGATTTTTTAAATATTCTCTAAAATATATTAATTTTTAACAATTATCATTCGACCAAAGATAGATATAAGGACCGAGATATGAATTTTTAAACAAATGGGGTTATCTTAAGAAATTCAAAAATAAGTGTGTGGTCTAACAAAAAATAAGTGTGTGGATTTCTAAATTATTTATAAAATACTCTTGCATCATCAACTAAAGATGACCTCTATGGTCATCTTTAGTTGACATTCTATGATAACATTTTTAACACGCTGAACTCTTTATTAAGCCCAAAAAAAGTTTTGTGTGGGAATTTTTAAAAGAGTTGTTGAGATTTACATGACTACATAATGAGGCAAGATAATTTTGAATAATTTTACTAGCAAAATATACTTTTAGCAATAATAACAACAGTTATATTTATTTTTTAAAGTAGTAAAATTACCACCTATTATGGTGGTTCTAAAGACTTATTGTAACATCCCACCACTTATAAATCGACGGCTTGGCCGAGAGTGTATGTATATTGTAAGAGGGTACTTTAAATAGAAATATTTAACAGCCATCATCTTGCAAGGAAACTTTTATGGTTGTTATGCAGGTAAATAACCACAAAAAATGTAGATAAGTAAAACAAAAATGTAGGAATAAGGAAATATAATTCGAAAAAATAAAATAATTTTTACCGATATTTTAGTTTGGTTTGAGTACAAGCTAAACCAAGTTTCAATATTGTAGAAATTCTGGTTAATCTTGTTATTATGTTATTTTCACTATCAAAAAATAGGTGTCGCTTAACATTGGAATAAATATTAAATTTTAAAATGAAAAAGAAAATTTGCGTGTGCGTGTACAAGCTCAATAGTAAATATAAAAAAAAAAAACAATATAAAAATTTTTCTTTATTAAATCAATTTCCAAAATTTCATTTTCAAATATAAATTGTCAAATATTTCTTAAAACTTGTGATGACCGGTGAACAAAAAAAACTCTTACATTAAAAATAAGTATTACTCCAAACTGTTGATGAAAGTACATAAATACCAAATAATAAATAATGATAATTAATTTATTTACTTAATAATGATCTTAGCACTTTGTATTGATCATCTTAATTTCATTAATTGGGGTGTTATTAGATTCTGTTTTAGTTTTATGGCTTTGAGCGATTAATTGCTAAATACAACGAATATATTGAAAGAGAAGGCCAAGAGTAATCTAATAAAATTTTTGTCCAAATTACCGACACTACATCACTTTGTATGTTTATAATGGAAAATCGTTGAGATGTACATGGAATTTATAACAACTCTAAACGAACTTATATAAATTTCAACTTAGATTTACTTCAAGTGTTGCAACTTTACACCTTTAGAAATAAATAAAAAAAAATGAAAAAGCTACAAAACTACTAAATAAAACATGCGAATATGAACGATGAACTATTGCGAAGAGTAGAATCAAAATCTAATTCCAAAATTTATAGAAAAATTTTGAATTATTATCAAATCTAATTGTTTTTTAATGAGAACTGATTTTAGTAATTTTCTAATTATCCCAGATTACTGATTTTATGTTATTCTTTCAAATAGAATTTATATTACACCGTTCTCTTATCAATCTAAATATTTATTCTAAATTTTCCATTCTCTTGTTAGTGGTTTGTTAGTGTTATATGGAACTGTATTTTGTAAATTTATTTGTAAATGTCGTAAATTATTGTAATAACACTTTCCTGCGAATGAATATAAAATTGAAAATTCACAATTTAATTTCATTACATTACCTAGGGAACGACAGTAATAAAGTAAGAACGAGAGTAGTTAGAGTCATATTCTGTAATATCGGTACAATTGAAACGATTATTTGATTTATTTTGCTACACTTCCTCATATATTTTTTTTTTTCAAAATATGGTTGTATGGTTTTTGCTATTATCGAACAATTTCAACGACTTTCAAACAGAAGTATGGTTCTATTATACCATATTCTTTTCTGCGGCATTTCAATACCGTAAATTACGTAAAGTAATAATCGAGCACCACAGCTCATAAAAATATTGATTGAAATTTGCTTGAATTTAAATCAACTACAAATAAAACAACAATAATAAACTTCGAATGCAATAGACATTAAAAAAATCTGATGTGATCAACACATAAGTAAGCTTTTAGTTTTACCATATTAAGATTAAGAAAATGTGAATTTGGATCTTAATATTGTCACTTTATGCTATCGCGAATTCTTTGAAGAGTTCGTTCGTTACTTCTTATAACAAGCTAAACTCAAATATTGAATTTCAACGAATTCAGCCAATTAGTTCCGTAAACATGATAAAAAATTTTAAATCGATCCCTAGTTCGGTTCCCGAGACCTGACATATCAAAATAATTGATCAGTTCGCAACATAGGTAAAGTCAAATATGAATTTTCATGGAAATCGGCCGAAATTAAGATACGCATCCGCACGGATAGAGCTGAAAATGTTTTAAAATAAAAAAGTAGCTGAAAATGTTTTTAACCCGCAAAAAATTAAACAGATGTGACATCTGAACAACAGAACAACTTTGTATGTATTGGTAGCACCAATTTCAAAATGTACATTCCCAATACATATGAGTTGGTAATCAATAATTTTGTATGAAAAACATGGCAACAAATGTCGCAAGTGAACTTGGATCAAATTAATGGTTTGTAAAGTACCACTTATTACTTGAATTGCAAGAAGATCTTGAACAGTTTTTATAAACAATCTAGCACATTTTTCCTTTCATTCATACACCAAAAATATATCCAATTATTGCATTTATAATTTTAATAACAGATTACTTCAGAGTAAACTTCATAAATTACCTGATCTTATCCGATTTATTGATAATTTTTTTTGTTTTATAAAACCATAACGTTATTAATCTCAAAATTTAGTGACAATTTGAATTTAGACCATAATATAAATTCAATTTTAGTTCTGCGTTCTGATTATTTGAATACGGATATCGGAAATTATTAAATTTCAAAAGCAAATCAAAATTGCTGTTATACGGAAGACATGCAATTTTTTCAAAGTATATTAATATTTGCGACAGGGTTTTTGATATTAAGTGAAATTCGAGCCTCTAAGGTAAAGCAAATTGCTCAAAATTTTAAAATTCTAAGTTCACAAAAAAAAAAGAAAAGCCAAAACAAATTTTATTTTTAGAAAACGAATTTCTTTGTACCAACTCGATTAGATTGCCATCTAAGTTCAAATTTGTTTTCTAATTATACATGTTTACTTAAAGCAATTTCAAGAACTAAGAAAATTGTAGGTTTACGAGGTGTACTAGCAAAGCCTGTTAATAAATTATTTGTAAGATGATTTGTGTGTTTTTTCTTTAATTTTAATTATAAATTATTAAAATTTAATTTCTTTTAGGTGAATTATCAATTATATAAACGCTATAATGGTTGGCAACCATTTTTGATGAATTACACATTTGAATTTTGCAATTTTTTAAAAGATGGAAAAGGTTTAGCTTCTCATTTTTATAATTACTTATACAAACCAGCTCTGCCATTACTTAGTAAATATACAAATATAAATCACCCGTGTCCTTATAATGTAATATGAAATTATTATTTTAATTATTCATTTAATAATAACAATTATAATTAATTATTTTTTTTTTAATTTAGGGGACAATTGAATTGTATGAAGTAGATCTTAATTTAGCTTTTAAAGAAAATGTTGAAAATTTACTTGTTCCAAGTGGTTATTATAAGGCTAAAATTGAATTTCAAAATTCAAGGAATCTACCAATATCAACTATAATTTTTCAATTGCTTGTAAAAGAAATTTAAAATATATGTATGTACGTATATGTGATTTTTTTTTATAGTGTCTCAGTTTTTTGTGAGTTCATTTTAAACTTGAAGTTTATACATAGTATTTATGTACTTTTATTTTGAATAAAGAAAAAATCTTTTACAGGCATACCTCGTTTAACGCTCATGATGAGTTTCTAAAAGTTGAGCGTTAACAGAAACAGCGTTAAAAGGGGCTCCTTTTACACTAAAATATAGGGTTACGTTACTACCAACTTCTGAGGTCTATATTAAACCGTATCACTACATCGAACGAACAATGTAATATTGTCAAGATGCTTTTTTTTTATATATAAAAAAATTATTAAAATTACTAATTACAAAAACTAAAATACATCTTCCTTTTATACTCTCAAAAAAACAATATAATCTCTCTCTTAAGAATCTTTGAACATGTAATAATTAATTCTTAAGAATTGCGACTGTACTCAAATAAAAATAAATTCATTAGAATTTCGATTATTGTGAAATAAAAAAAAATTTTTTTTTTTTTTTAATGTGACAATATAAAATATTTACACTTGGTGATTCCAAGAGATATAATAATTTTTGAAAATTTTTTTTTCAAAAGAGCGTTATAACGAAACAGCGTTAAAAGAGGTAGCGTTAAACGAGGTATGCCTGTATTTTGATTCACCTTCAATTTATTTCAATATTGAAAGCATATAATCTTATTCTGATATGTAGCTGATAATTTATACATCAAGTGATAATAATGACACTCATAGTTAAAATTAAAAACATTCTTAACATTTATAATCATTGATATGAATTCCATTTACAACAAATATCCCATTATCGTTGAAAATTATCCAATATAAGCCTTGAAAACTACCCATACATACATATGTATGTGCATAAGAAAACTTAAAAGTGAAATTTAGTGTAGCGAGAAGACATCTTTATCTTAATTCATTTAAGCACAATATAAATTAATAAAATATTTTCCTGGGTTCCTATACTGGTTCCTACTTTCTTATTAAAATATCATAACAATCAAATTAATTAAATATTTCTATATATTAAATTCTGTTGATCCTTGTTAATGCTTGTGTTTTTTTTTAATCCCGCAAAAATTTTTGAACTTTAAAATAACTCAACTCTCAGGTGCCAGACGTTGTAGAGGGCCCATTGAAAAAGCTGCGATGGCAATTTTTTTTTTTTATTATTTTACCATACTTTCCTATCCTATCTAAAAACGTCTTTGTCTTTAAAAGCGGTAGAAAATTTCGGTGGTTTAGCTTACTCTTTTTTTCTACCCATCCATCCATCGAAATTTTAAAATTGTAATAACTTTTGTCCTGAAAGACCAACCAAACTGAGGAAGGGACTATACATTAATAGTATAACTATTTTGTATAACAGTTAAAGTACTAAATAACAACGAAAATATTGAAATAAAAATTAAAAAAAACAAGAAATCGATTAGATTTTAATTGATTTCTTTGAATATTGGTGTAAAATCTTATATTCGTCAACATTTCTAAAATAAATAATTTATATACCAATATGTACTCACAAATAGTGTAGATTGAATTGATTTATTGTACATTGACTAAAAGGAGACTTCATGAAATTTAATATTCTTAACTTGTATACAAAGATTCTACATATATGATAAAGTAAGACTTTTGTTTTACGGTTTGCATGTCCCAATATAATAAAATTTATTTTGAAGAAATATTTAAGAATTTTACAAAAAACAAAAAAAAAGAAAGTAATAAGACAAAGAAAAACATTTTTATTATAAAAATTTGAATTAATATTTTTGTTACTAAAATTTTTACTGTAATGGTTGAACAGTAACTAAAGTTTATAATTGTATTAATTAAATTATTGTTAATGTAGTTGTATTAATAGCCATAGCAAACATGACTATAGAATTTAAAGTACGTGATGAAAATGATTTTTATTTTGGTAATTTTCAAAACGAAATAATAATGCTCGCCATTCAATAAGATTTATTAAGAATATTAAAATTTTTTTCTAAAAAAATAATTATTATTAAAAATAATGTTAAAAATAAATATTTAGAGTCAATTATTTTTAATGACCCATGACTGACTGCAATTTATTGACTTAAACTTATTTGTTATGATTAAACTGTATAAAATTTTTTAATATTTTTTTTGCAAATAGTTTCTCTTATTTATTTAAAAATAGAATTAGAAGATATACAATAATAAATGCTAAGACTAAATTGACTACTAGCATAAAAACGATGAAGTTCGAACTGATTGTAATTAAAAATAAAATTTATACAAAAATTGTAAAATAGTTGACAAAAAATACTATGTATTCTTTGTATGTATATGAACTGTTGCTATTACCAAATATGAATCAGATTGTAAGTGCCTCCTCATATGCCGTAAGACTTAAAGACACTGAAAAGCAGTGCTGTGACCTTTGTTATACTTTTTATTTCATTTATATAAATGGGATGTAGCATTTTTTACTTTGTATATAAGATTCGAAATGTAATTATAAAAATAAATTACTTTATAATTTGTTTAAAATTTTTAAAATACCATTCATCATAATCGAATATATGTATGTATGTAAATTAGTAAATTTTTTTTTATTATCTCTAAAGTCTATTAACCCAATGAAATTTGCCAAATTTAAAATTGCAAAATATTAAAATTTTTTTAACGATTTATCGTTTAAATTATCTAACCTGATAACATTTTTACAATATATTTTTCTATTTCAGAACAAAAAGCTTTTGAAATGTGGCACTTTTAGGACGCTGAGAACAAAACAGATAAAAATTTTGTTTTTGTGAAATAATTTTTGGAGAAAGACATAATATTTATGTACAAATGTATGTTATGAGTAGAGAGTGAATTCGCAACGGTATAAGAGCCTAACTAAATAAACATTTTTTTGGGAGAATTCCGTGTATCTATGTGTGAATTTGTGTATCTTACGTAATTTGGATTGATTTTTAATGACAATTAATATGAGAATTTACTTTGGCTATATGACGGAATGATAAAATTTTAGTCAATGTCATGCATCAGTATATACTATGGACACTTTTTTCATATTAACCGATGTGCTTGATATTCAATACCTTAATTGTGACTGAAAAAAAAAAAGGAAAAAGCAAACGTTATCGAAACATCACGACTCGGAAACTGGACTTACATTAGCTGTCGATTTTACATTTTTCGCCATCATTTAAGTAATTTATTAACTTAAATTTTTTGAAATTTAATATTTGAGTTCTGTTTGAGAACGATAGAAACTGAAGAAGTTTTCAAGGAAATCAGTTAACAAGAAGTGAAACTACACAATTATTAACTGTAATGAAATTTGAAATAAATGCTTAAAAAACATTTTCACAATTTTTTTTGCGAACGGTTTTTTCAAGCAAACGATAATTAATAAACAAGGGTTTCTAATAATTATACTTAATATACGCATTACGGCCGATTGTGTGATGATCACATCAAATTTATACCGACCGTATTGCATACAATAAGCGAGGCTGTGTGATAACACCAAATTTCGTATATAGAGTTTTCGGCGGAAACACACTTCTCCATTGTAAACAAGATGGATGTGCAAACAAAAAATATTTTTAGAGAGATGTCGGTCTGTATCTGCACGCATGCATCTCAAGTTCGCCTAAACCAATTTTATTCATATTTTTACTATCGTATATCTGTTTACTATCGGAAGTAACTGATAAGCTTTTCAGAGAATTCAGACGGAATAAAGTGAATCTCTTCTATGAGCTAACATTTTTCCGCCTATGTTAACTACAAACTAACTAGAGTCCTTAAAATTTGAAGGAAGTGTTTAAAAGCCATTTTCATAATCTTGTACAACATTTTTGCTACCGCAAGGGTTGGTTGTCAACTGACCACATCAAATTTTTTTTCATTTTGTTGCTCCTTCACATTTTGAGTTCAAATTTTTAATACTTTTACTAAACAATTTTTATTTAATTTAAAAAAACACAAAATTATAAATTGAATTTAAAATTCTTTTAAAATTTTTTTTTCTTCGTTAACTGATTGAAATATTGGCCATTTCATTTTAATTCAACCAAATATGGGACATGTTTGACATATTTTTGCACACATTATTGTGATGGCATTATCATATTACAACCACACTACATACACATATGAAACAAATAATTTTTTTCGGAATATTTGCAGTCATGTGCTCATAACCTCTAGAGTAAATAAAGTATATTATGTTTTTATTTTATTTTTATTTTAAAAAATTTTAAAAAACATATAAATATTATACAAGCATGGTATGTACAGTACATTTATAAAAAAAGAATTGTTATAAAATTTAAAATCGAAAAAAGGACAATTCGGATAAAACCATGCATTTTAAAAGTATAATAAACTTAGTTATTGAACACGCAGATAAACCTGAATAGCTAATATGTATAAATATTAGGGAAACTTTTGTAATATTTTCGACAAATAAGGGATGGGGTTTAATTTAAAAAAAAAAAGGAAGAAAATAATTTCAATTTGTAAACGCATATGTCATAAGAAATAAGGATTGAAAAGTAAAAGGAAATAAAGGACTAAAAATGTGTAATGTGGTTTCACAGTACATAAGAGTTTTGAAAAACAATTTCCAATAAAGGACAATAAATTGATTAGGGTGATTACAATTATGTTTATTATTTCGAATTTTAGTTCTATTTTTTGCTTAAATTTAAAAAATTTTTTTATTATAAAAAAAATTTTTTTTTTGAATTTAGTTGAATTCAGTCATAAATTGAGTATCTTGCTTTTTCGATTGAGTGATTGAAATTTGATTTTTTAAAAATACTTTTTTGAGAATTCAATCAGTCCCATCATGAATTTCACTCGTAGAATTCTACAAATTACGAACTTAGCTATACGACGTGGACTTTTAAATGATCACAAATTGCTTTCGTAAGGATTATGAATCAGCAGTGGTAACAGAATTTTTCGAGTGTC